TGGAGGAATCAAGAAATACTTTCTCACTAACCTCAACTTAGAAGAAGAAGTTGATAGAGGCGGAGTAAACTCTCGGAGTTGAAAAACCTTCAAAGGCTGTCCGGCTTAGTGATCAAGGAAGTCTTTGTGTAATTGTACTAAAGAGTGATAGTGCAATCCTTCCAGCAGTTGTGGAAGAAGAGTGGAAGTAGGCAAAGTTTGGCCGAACCACTATAAAATCTCGTCTCGCTCTTCTCTTTACTTACTGCTTTATTTTACTGCTTGCATATCATCTTTTTCATCACTCATCTTATCCTTTTATCAAACTCGTGCAACTCTCTCTTTATAACCTTTCCGCTGTGCTTATCTTACTCAAAAGTGTTGTCAGGGTTTTTCTTTTAAAAATCTAAAGAAAAACGAGAGTCTATTCACCCCCCCCCCCCCCCCCCCTCTAGACTCACCACACAATCTATCGGGACCAACATATATATATATATATATATATATATATATATATATATATATATATATATATATATATATATATATATATATATATATATATGGAATGGTTCAGGTGCGGGTATAGGCTTTCCAGTCCGTGCGGTGGACGCACCTTAACTATTAAAATGGCGCATTGTAAGTAGTACACAAATCGCGCACCTTAAGCACACAAACAAAGCATCTTAAGAACACAAACCATGCACCTTAAGTACATAAATCACGCACCTTAAGCGCACAACAAAGCACCTTAAGAACACAAACCACGCACCTAAGGTTTTAAAATAGCTCACCTTAAGTTTCACACAACCGACGCACCTTAAGCATACAAATCACACATCTTAAGAAGGAAAATCACGCACCTTAAGTTTCAACAAATACTCACATTAAGCACAAAACTTACGCACCTTAAATACAAAATCCATGCACCTTAAGAAGGAAAATCATGCACCTTAAGTTTTAACAACTACTCACATTAAGCACACAACACACAAAACCCACGCACCTTAAATTTGACCTAGATGCAAAAATTATAAAATTGCCACCACCTTAAATTTGACCTAGATGCAAAAATTATAAAATTGCCACAACATTTTTTTTTTTTTGGAATAAGGGTCAAATAGGTCATCCAACTGCACACAATAATTCAATTAGGCCACTGAACCTAAAAAACTAACAATTGGGTCCCTAAACTAAACAATTTCAAATAATTCTTCCAATTTGAAGGTTTCCAACAAGTCAACAGGTCATCCTTCCAAATTAATTATTTTTTAAAAATAAATTTTTAAAATTAATTATTTAATTTTTTAAAAAAAAAAAACTGGACTGTTGTCTCCGGCCGGAGTATGTTTTTTTTTTTTAAACAAAATTTAAAATTAATTAATTTTTAAAATTTATTTTTTAAAAAAAAAAATAATTAATTTGAGAGGATGACCTGTTGACCTTGATTAGTATAGGACCTAGTTGTTGGTATTTTAGGTTCAGTGGTCTAATTGCATTATCCTGTGCAGTTCGATGGCCTATTTGACCCTTATTCCTTTTTTTAAAAAAAAAATTTGATAATCTTGAACGTTGATTTAAGCAAGATCAATGCCTCAAATTTAACCGCACAACCGCATTCAAACCTAAGTCTACCGATGCGCACAAGGAATCTGCCTACTTTTGACATAATTCCCACACTGCCGCCGCCGCCGAGGTTTGAACCTTAATTGGTCTCTTATCCCAAATACTGTCCACTAAACCATTGAGCTAAGCCCATGCAGGTATTTAAACCTAATTCTATACATATATATATATATATATATATATATATATATATATATATATATATATATATATATATATATATATATATATATATATATATATATATATATATATATATATATGGTCATGTTCCCATGTGGACAATGTTTCCCGTGTGACCTTGCGGTCAAACACCATTAAGTATGCATAAATGATCATAAAGTGTTTGAAAATGCACGATTAGGTGATGCATTTTTTGGTATATGTGATGTATTTGTACATTTCATTCTGATACATTTTTGAACATTGTATAGTGCATTTATGCATACCTAATGGTACAATCCGCATTAACCGCACGGAAAGCTCTGTCCTCATTTGAACAACTATATGTATAGATACACACACGAATATCACATAGATTACTAGCTACATGTTTATGAATCTAGGACACTGTATATCAATCAAATTATCTCATAATGTTTTCTTTTACTCAAAAAATTCTCCGTAATAACTTTTAAGAATATTTATTAACTACACTGCCATTGAATTGTTCAATTCAATCCACCACTTTACAAGTTACCTAGTTAAAAAAAAGAGAACACAATAAACAAATACAAATAGGAGTTTTATTAACATCTTAAGAAGTACATATTAAGAGATAATATAATTTTAAGAGGAAAATGTATATATACGAATTGTATACACTAGAATTAACTCCATCAAGAGTCAACAAATCATGTTTATTTAAAGAATAAAATATTAATCACTACGTACTATTTAAAAAGAAATTCAAAACAATGAGTTATAACAATAAATATATATATATATATATATATATATATATATATATATATATATATATTTATTTATATATTTATATTTATTTATTTATTTATTTATATAAATGAATAAGTTTAGTTTGTATGAGACGTGTAATACTAAAATCAACTAAAATTTAATATATTTTTTTATAAACTCATAAAAAGTATTATATATAATTTAGTTAAAAAGTATTGCATGTCTTACGTGAGATAGCGCTAAGCTAGTTTTACACATGACCTAACTAATATATATAAATATATTCTTATAAATTGATAATTACTCAGTAATTATTTATTCGTCCTCATTTGAACGAGTATATATAAAATTTCAAATCAACTTTAAGTTTAACCCCAAATCCATCAATATCTATAAAACACATATTACACAAAAAGTCTAAAAATAATTTTCATGTCACTTACTATGTAAAGGGGATATAAGGTTAGGTATTCCTAAAAGAGTAATATTAGATACCCCTCATATTTTCCCTTATAATTCAACTTATATGGACACCCAATGAATGAAAGCCACATAATGAAGGAGAAATTTAAAAGAAGTATTTTTTTAACACATTATTCTAAAATTAAATTTTTTTTTGGTAAGGAAAGAACGGATGATCCCAAGAGGTTTTAACACATTATTCTAAAATTAAACTTTTTTTTTTTGGTAAGGAAAGAGCGGATGATCCCAAGAGGTCAATACATCACCCTAGAATAGACCGATCGACCTAACCTGAACAATACCCAAACCTTTCTCGTTCAGAAGAGAAAGTTTAACCAACTTTTTCACTTTTCAACTATTTTATTTTGTTTCTTATGAGTCCACTCTAAACTCACTTCCCATTTCATACTTTCTCAACTTGATGAAGCACACAGAGTCAACAACGCCTCTACTGCGACTCGATCTCATGAACTCCCACATGGGAGATGTCACTACATGCCATCTAAGTACAAGGTGCTTGACCCATTTCCAATAAATTTAAACTTAATTGGAATCACATAAGTTGTGTTAAATCACACCATCATCGTTGACAATAGACACTAATTAAATTGTGAGGAAATTAATTGCCATTTTGATTATTATAAAATATATTGAAGATGGAGAAAATTGGTGTATGGAGGTAGGCGTTGAAGGCATGTGATTATGGAAATTACGTGAAAAATGGTTGGGCGGTTTGGTAGGCAATTAAGCTTCTAGTCTTCTACTATATACCGCCCAATAATCCATATTGCCTTCTAATACAAGTCAACTCAAAGGATCGGAAAACCGTGGTCCGGCCGGTCTAGCACACATTTCCATTTCTTTACCAACCATACATGCAAGATCCGTTTTCTAGTTTTACAATTTCGATCTCAATAATCATCCATTCATGTGCACTACCACCTTATCATTAACATATATGCATGTGATTATTTATATATATTAAGCTTTTCAATTCAAAACTGTGCATTATTTGATGTACCTTTTTTTTAGTTTAATTGAAAATGTAGGTGTACCATTTATTTATTACAATTATAATACTTTATCCCTCTCATTTTATGTGTATGGTTCGATTAACGAAACTTGATTAAAGTTATTTAAAAAATGAATAATAATTTAAAAATACTAAAGAAAAAATGAGAAATATATATATATATATATATATATATATATATATATATATATATATATATATATATATATGGTTTGACCAATAAATAGTAAACATGATTGATAAAATACTAAAATAGTAGAGATGGGATATTAAATACTCAATGAATATCTCTAATACAATTGGTGAATTATATTTAATGTAACTAAAAAAGAATATCACATGACTTCAAAAAATGGAAGACTAACTAGCCATATTTTTTAACAACCTTTACTAGTAAATAGTGCTATTGATTATTTTTAATTAGTGATTGGTTATAGCGACAAATAATTTTTTTGAATGCACAAAATGTTCAAAAATGTCATTTCCTACCAAAAGTTTTGTATTTTTATCACTTTCTAGCAGTTGAAAATTCTAAACATTTTAGTTATGTTTAAAAAAAAAAAATGACTAACATAATAACATATAAACCTTACTTCGATTTATATATTACCGTACAATAGCATCAAAGATACGTTGAATAATATGAAATTTAACTTCCTGACCATATATAATAGATGTGTTGATATATTGGAAAAAATACTTACCATTTCAAGCTAAACTTTTACGGAATTTATAAATTGGATATAATATATGACTTTCCAACATATATATATATATAAAGGAAAAAAAAAAAAATTGAGGATGTCTGTTCTTTGTTTGATAAGTCCACTCACGTGCCCGTATCAAACGATCCTTTCGTTCTCACTTCTGCAGTTTCCCTTCAATTCATTATCTTCTTTATTATTAACATTTTTTAAATTCTAAACAACCACTATAAATATGGAGCCAAAATGGTTCATTTCTCATCACAATTTTCTTCAAGTAAAGCCTTGATTATATTGCATACACATACAACAAAACCACACATTTTAATTTCTTCATCATATTATGGCGGCGGTTCATTGCAAGATTGGTATAATCGGAGCCGGGATAAGCGGTTTAGCGGCAGCTAAGCAGCTCTCCGGCCACGAACCGGTGGTTTTCGAAGCCACCGACTGTATCGGAGGGGTGTGGAAGAACTGCTCTTTCCGCTCCACTAAGCTGCAGACCCCTCGCTGCGATTACGAGTTCTCGGATTTTCCTTGGACCCAAAGGGATAACTCCAGTTTCCCGACCTACCAAGAAATTCTCGACTACTTGCATTCCTATGCTACTCACTTTGACATCTTGAAATTTGTCAAGTTCAACTCTAAGGTCGTGGAAACCCGATTCGTCGGCCACCGCGAAGCCGCCAACTTCGGTGGTGACAAAGGAGAATATGGAAGCATGTTGCCCGGCCATCCGGTTTGGGAAGTTGCTGTCCAGACCAACCAATCTGAAACCATACAGGTAAGATAAATCAGTTTAGATTGTCCATAACTGAACAGCTTAAACCAAGAAGGGCAATACGGTGCAAGCCTAATTTTCATTAGTTCATCCAATATTGGATGAATGCATGTCCTCGATCATAATCTCATGCATTCATGCATGTATAACACTATATATTAATAAGTCAGAAATATTTAAGATATTTTTTAAAGTGCTGATACCAAATTGAAGCATGTGCTCCATCTCAACTAAAAGTCTAAACTGAGTTGGATTGCACATTAATGATTATATGCTCAACAATATATATATGATGACAGTGGTATACTTTTGAGTGCTTGGTGGTGTGCACTGGAAAATATGGTGATGTGGCAAACATACCAAGTTTCCCACGCAACAAAGGGCCTGAAGTGTTTAAAGGAAAAGTATTGCATACACTTGATTACTGTAAGCTAAACAAGGAGGAATCTACAGAGCTTCTCAAAGGGAAGAAAACTGTAGTGTTTGGGTACAAGAAATCCGCCATTGATCTTGCTGTTGAATGTGCAGAAGCTAACCAAGGTATCTAATTTCTCTCCCTTAATAATATATATAAGTGTATGTATGTATGTATACATCATAGACATACATGCATGTATGTATTATATTTTTTAATAACAGAGATATATCTTGACTTCCATGAAAGATGCAGACATGAAGTGTTATGAATGTCAAAGTTTATTTAAAGATTTACATACTTTTCAAATAGGACTGGAGAATAAAAGATCGACCTGAAACTAACATACATATACAGTAAGATGGAACTGTCAAAATTCAATCAAGAATTAATATGGAATTGGGGATTTGACCAAAACTTAATAATTAATATAATGGTAGATTGGTAGCTGGGTGGAAATTCATCAAAAAGAATGACTTTATTACTAGTCATTCAAACTTCAAACCTGGAAGGAAATAAAATTAATGTTTTAATATTCTCATTCATCAAGATTGTTCAGTAGTATTTGACTATTTGTTTCTTTGTATTTTCTTGGTTGCTTTTACACTTTCCATGATAGCTAACTTGAGCATATACATATGTGCATCTTCTTGAATAAAGGAACTGATGGGCAAGCATGCACTATGGTGATAAGGACCCTGCATTGGACTGTTCCACACTACTCCGTTTGGGGTTTGCCATTTTACTTGTTCTTTTCAACCAGGTCTTCCCAGTTCCTGTATGAACGACCCAAACAAGGCCTTGCTAGGACCCTTCTCTGCCATCTCCTCTCTCCTTTGGTAAGCCCACACTTTGACTGTACTCCGTTGACTCTGATACAAAATTAAAGCATGTGTTTCATTTCAACTAAAAGTCTAAGCTGATAGTTAGATTGCATGTTTATATAATTATATATTATATGCTCAACAGTAATGGTAGATTAATGAAATGACTAATTGGATGGGGTTTTATCATATCAGAGATGGGGAGTTTCTAAGACTATTGAGTCGTACCTGTCATGGAAGCTGCCACTTGACAAGTACGGTTTGAGACCAGACCACCCCTTCGTGGAAGACTATGCATCTTGTCAGATGGCAATCTTGCCGGAAAATTTCTTCCAGGAGGCTGAAAACGGGAAGATCCAGTTCAAAAGAGCCGCCTCAAGGTGGTGGTTCTGGGAAGGCGGGGTTGAATTTGAAGACGGCACACGCCTGGAAGCCGACGTCGTGATTCTCGCCACCGGTTTCGACGGCAAGAAGAAACTCAAAACTATACTCCCAGACCCCTTTCGCAGCCTCCTCGAATTCCCCTCCTCCGGCGTGATGCCCTTATACAGGGGGACCATTAATCCTCTGATTCCCAACATGGCGTTCGTGGGGTTCATCGAGAGCGTCTCGAATCTGCACACGGCGGAGATTCGCTGCAAGTGGCTGTCGCGCCTGGTGGACGGCCACTTCAAGCTTCCGAGGGTGGAGAAGATGGTGGAGCAAACAAAAGAAGAAGTTGAAATCATGAAGAGAAGTACGAGGTTTTACAAGAGGAGTTGCATTTCCACCTTTAGCATTAACCACAGCGATGAAATCTGTGAAGAAATGGGGTGGGAATCATGGCGGAAGAAGACATGGTTGTCTGAAGCTTTTAGCCCCTACAACAGCCAAGATTATACAGAGGAAGACAACTAATATTGATATATAATTATATATCATATCATGCACTTTTAATTTGGTCAACTATAAACTGCTACATAAGTACACGTGCAGTGGCCTCACAAATCCAAAACATAAAGATTATTTATACTAAAATTATATAGGAATTGAAGGAGAGGTATCATGTATCGTTTAATAAAGTGTGTAATTAACAATTTTAGATTTAAAGATTTGTAGTTGGTCAATAATTGTATTTTATTATTTTTGTTGTTATTAATTCATGTATTATTGGTCATTGGAAAGCTAGCTAATTAAGAGTCTATAATGAAGTTAATGGAATTTTATATTTTAAAAAATTTTACACATATATGATCCTGTTTGGTAACACAATTAAGTTTATTATTCAATTTTGACTTGTTTGACTTAGTTAAACAGCCAATATGAGTATTTGGTTAAAAAAATGTTTAAATTTAAAAAACTACTCAAAACAGTTTTTTCAATTAACTTTTTGATAAAGTCATTTTGTATGTAATCAGCTATCAAAATTTATCAAACATCTTTTTACAATTAGTTAATGTTAATTCAATCAGCTGACAACTATTTACCAAACAACCACGTAGTGGTTACAACCCAACTCTTTTGCTTGATTTGTTTGTATAAAATAACAAGCGTAGGTTTGATTTATTATTGACATTGACCATCCAATCCCAATGCCATAACACAATTGTATTTTTCGAATAAAGTTGAAAATCTACCTTATAAAGTATCTTTCAGAATTTATTTTATTAAATACGAAAATATTAAATTTGAGAATTATATGTGTAAAAATGCGTACGAAACAAGAAGAATGAAAGGAATAATGAGTAAATGAGATACTAGATACTAAAATATTCTTTCGACTTCAAATTGTACGTTAGATTGAATAACGAAAATAATTATTCCGATTTTACATTATTATAGAGCTATCCATCCCTACTCAAAACAATATGCACTTAGTCACAAAATGAATATAATCCCAAACTCTTTATAACTACGCAATTTATCTCAAACTCACAGTCCTTTGATGCCAACAAATTCCGTATCCACTTCTTCCTGTAAAATCATCTTGTTAATTAATTATCATTCAAATGAGAAATTCAAGGTGTTATGAATTAGGTATACATAAGGTAATAATGAGAAAAAGTATTCAAGTTCCAATACTAATTTAAAGTTTAAAAAAATAAAATAACTTTCTCTAGTAGTTATACCTAGATAAGAATGCACATGTTCATTTTTGAGGAATTCAAATTCAGATGTATGCCAGGAGCAATATTGTGTAATAAATGAGAATCTGTTTATTTTCGTTTCTCCAATTTCATTATGTTACTCAGGTGAAGTTTCTTGGGGATATTCAGGACTTGATTCTGTCAAGTGAAAATCATTCCGGAATTGAAGACTGAAGAGAGGAAACTATGGTTTTATGATATTCCAACTGTAAACACACAAATCCTCCAAAAATTTTGGCAGTGTTCTTTGAAATATAAAGAAATTTTTTATTAATATATATTTATAGGGACGGTCCTATCGTTTTCATAACGAAATTTTAAGTAATATCAACTAACTTAAAATAAAATTTAAAAATTTTCTTAGCTCTTCTCTGAGAGTCTACTAAATGCTCAATTTAATTTTCTTTTTTTTTGTGCTTCCGCGTATTTTTTTAGGCAACATTATATAAAACAACAATTATTATAAACTGGTCTTAAAAAAAAAAAAAAAAAAAAAAAACATGTAGAGCGCTTTCACTTTAGACACCTAAGATCCTGATTCCACATAATCGGTGAAAAGTGTCTTCAATCCCTTCATAAATAAAGGAATAAACACATTACAAAACTTACAAAATCAAATAAAATCATTCTTCAAATAAACCTAATAAATTTACAATTTCATTGTAAATGGGAATCCTAAATAAAATTATAAGACAATTAGGATTCTCAAACATAGCTTGAATAATGGAATTAAATTACAGTTCTGCAGAGGATTTAGATAAATAGATCATTAGAAGTTATTATACGGCAATTAGTCTGTTTTCCACAAAGCAAATGCGCATCTGCAAAGAAGATAAATCATAAATATATAATTAGAGGCTATATATATATATAAAGTTATTTATAATACTAAGATCAATGGACATAATTTGACCACACTGACTCATAGGAAGAGGTGGACTCACTTGAACAATGGCCTCTATATATATGTATATATATATTAATGCCTACCTAAGTTGATGGAATAGAGTAAAATAGTGACATCACATTCAAGTATTGGAGATTTGGAGGATCATCCCATAAGACCTCTGCATTATCTATATAGTTATCGGCAAATTATGTTGTGCATCCATATACACCAAGTGCTTGGTGCATACGGATGCAGAGCATAATGATCCATAGTTATCAAAGGCATATTTGGGCAGAATAAATAAATCATCTAAGCCAAACTTCTACCTGCATTCTCTGACCCGCATCCTTCATAAGCCCAACTTCAATAAAAATAAAAGGCTCACCTAAAGAAAATCAATCGTTAGACTTATAATAAGTGTTAAATTGTGTCACTTTTATGGGTTACACTATTGGAAATTATGAAATTTTCGAGCACCTAAAAGTGATTTTAAATCAAGTCGAAAGTCTTGTTCCGACCACTTTTGGTATCCGGAAAAACCTTTGTTGCTATTTCCGACCACTTTTTGGTATCAACTTGATTTAAGATCACTTTTAGGTGATCAGAAATTTTATAATTTCCAATAGTGTTAATTGAGAGTTATATTTTGCTTAACTAGAGTCCTTCGAGCCTATTATGTGCTTAGAATAACTTATTTTGATTAAAGTTAGGCACAAAACTAGTTTTGATTACATTTGTGAAAATAGTAAAATATTGACAATTTTAGAACATTTTAGCGACATTTCGGAAGAAAAATCATATCTGGAGCTAGGAGTGTCCGATCAAGGTGATTCAGGTGGCCATGGATCGGCATCGAAAAGATCTACAACTTTTGTGAAGACGACAAAAGCTATTTCGGACATCTAGACAGTCAAATTCCCATTTACGCCGGAGTCACGCGGCGTGAGCTGAAGCGACATTTTGGCGACACTTCGGTAAAATGAGCATATCTGGAGCTAAGAATGTCCAAATGAGCTGATTTTCAAGTGGCGTTGGATCGGCATTTCAAAGCGCTACAATTATCATGAAGACCACAAAGGCTAATTTGGACGTCTTGGCGGTCAAAATCAGCGAAGAACGCGTCATGAGACCCACCCAGTCACGCGACAGTCATTATATCGTGCACCACGGTACATAATCGATTATGCACCGCGCGTCAAAATGGCGTCGTTTCTGCAGTTATAACGGAGTGACACTACAGTGTGTCTAAACCGACACTGTCTCACATATTATTTTTATATTATCAAATGAAACTGCAGTTATATCAAAATGATACTGTAATTGTGGTAAAATGAAACTACAGTATATATAAAATGAAACTGAATAACATTTCACATATTTGAGTGTATATTGTACAATGAAGCTGTAATTATATTGAAATGATCATGTAGTTATGTTTTAATGAAACTACAGTGTATATAAAATAAAATTAAATAACATTTTCACATATTTGAGTGTATAAATATTGAATGAAACTGTAGTTATATCAAAATGAAACTGTAGTTGTGTTGAACTGAAACTGCAGTGTATACAAAATGAAATTGAAGAACAGAGTTATTTTTTGCGAAGAGTCTATTTCTTTTCATTAAACAAAACGACGTCGTTTTGATGAGCGGTGCATTATCGATATGCACTGCGGTGCACGATATAATTTGCGGTCACGCGCGTAAAGGGAAATAATGGGCTATTGCCTATTGGCGAGATTTTAAGGGCGAAAATTTCAGATCTGATTGATTCCCATCATTATTCATCTTCCTACTTTCTCACTCTAGGTTTTTAGGTTAGATTAGCTTAGTTTTTTCTCTCCCTTCTCTCTAGATTAGGGTTTTACATTTCCTACTAGATCTATGAAGAATTCCACATAGTTTTGTAAAGAAGATATGCTATTGGAGGCTTCTTGTTGAAGGATCTACACTTGGATTTCAAGATTTACCTTCCATTTCTTTAGTGAAGTTTTCTTCCCCTTATCCCTTTTATTTTGCAATGTTTATGCTTTATATTTATGTTTTTGTGTTCTTTATGTTATTTAATCATGTGTAGTTAGTTTATGGACTTGAGTTAGGGTTGTATTATCTTTATTGATGCTCGATTTGTGATTATTGCAAAAAGAGGTCAGAACACTAACCTAGGGTTCTTGAATTTATGAATGATTTGTGTTTGTATGTTGTTAATGTTTGATGTACACATTCATTAGCATGCTTTTGGAGAATTATTGGCTACAATGAGAATTGGGTTAAGTATTTTAGCCACCCTTTGCATAAACCCGATTTTTCCTATGAAAATGGGGGGAATTGGGGGCTTTAAATGCTTTGTGTGTTCGATGGACTTGGAATTGTTACGTCACGAGAGTGGGACAATTCCCTTATTGGCTAAGCTCTACCGGGCGCAGATTACTCGATCGACTATCAAAGCTTGAATTTCATTTCTAATATGGATGTAGTCTTATCCTTATATACGATATTTATGAAATTATATACTTTTTTTCAATTTCAATGTTGAATATGAAGTAGATTTCATATAAGTGGATTGCGGTTTGTGGTTAAAAAAAGAAGAATAATTGGTTTGATTAATGTATATAACATTGTTCCCACCCTAGCTTACCACTTACTAGTGCACGTTTGCGAGGGCTTAGAAGAATTCAATTCTCATAATAAGGATCTCCCCCCTCCCTTTTCTTTTCCAATTCCTTCTTTTCGTTTACTTCAGTGGAGCAATCCGAACTCTCGACAGAATATAAAAGAGGACCGCAAGCCTGTGTATTCTAATCCTTGTTTATTAATCACGAGAGTGGTTCGTAGATTAGGATACCTACGTGCATTCCCTCTTGCTTCCTTGGTTGTTTGTTCTCCCTAATCTCATAGGTTGTTGAAGTATCTAGATGATAATGCTTCCTAGCTTGAGTCCTATTTCTTTATTTTGTGTTTATCTTTGTGTATATGTGTTAGTCCTACTATTTCCTTGTTATTTGCTTAGCTTCTTGTTGATTTCTTTATGCTAGTGTCTAATTTATTGTGATTGCATATTGCGTGTCATAACCCCCCGAGGACGACATTTCACACCCGTACACTCACCGTCACTCATTTTTGGTACATCAACTTACTGTGGTGCACTTACTGCTGTAAGTCTGACCTGGTAAGAAAATCAATAGCATATTCTAATGTTTGCGAGAAAAAGTATAACTAACCAGGTATTGCTGGATCAAAATATTCAAACCAGCAGCAACCTACTCCTAGCCTCCTTTTCAGATCCATAAGGAATACTCACAATGTTCAAATAAGAAAATTACCTCTATTTAACTTGTTATGGTCTGTGTAAAATAACCATAATATCCTCTAATAAGTTTGTTTATAGATTCCTGGTCTTTGGGGAATCTCAACATTTAGGGCCCAAGGGAGCAAAATATATGCAGACAACTGATGCAAAGATTCTCATTTGCTACAATGGAATTGTGGCACAAACATGAAGGTGAATAAATTTTGATTTTATTAAGAAAATATATTTCGATTCTTCTTTCATGGGAATCCCTAGCATTTTATTAGTACATAATACATAGGGATAACACATGAAAGAGAATCCGATACAATTGCAGTTCATTGATGACTTTACATGAGCAGCCTATAAATGACATTGTTACAATACGGCAGATCCATAATACAACGGTGGGCAATGATTAGAGGAGCAAAGGCTATCAAAAATCAAGCCGATTCCATTGTCAAAGTAAAACCTTTGCTGAGGTGATGCAAAATAATGTTACTGATCCCAGTTGCTGATTTTATAGTCCAGATCACTTGGATGATGTCAATGTTTCCAATTCTTCTACTGCTTGGTTGATAGCATGAAGGATCATTTTCTTTATCTGTGAAGTGCAAGGGAAAAAAGTTAAGAAAAAGAAGTTTTTTCTTTGCATCGAAAAAAAGATGTAAAATGAGTGGCACGAAGATGGTACGGTACCGTACCTCTAGTTTGTCTTCCCTGGCCCTGTGGTTGACTGGTAGTCTCCTGAATTCTTCTGTAAGTTGGATGCACTCTTTGATGTTTTCTGGAGAAATGAAGTCTGCCGCAACTTTTGTACATGACTGAGTGCAGGGAGTGCAATAACAGTCACTAATCATGGTGAACAAAGCAACAAGTAAAATGAGATGATGTTGAGTTAGGCCACATACCTTAAGATTGCGAACTTGGTGAGGGCAGCCTGCAGGAATGAACACAGCCTCTCCAAGTCTCTGTTCAAATGTCCAAGGTTCTATTCCTGCATGATTATTAATTAAAATGAATATTTATTCCTAAATTATAATCAATGCTCCTTTGATATGAAGAATGAGAGGGAAGTGAGATCAATAATTCAAATACTAACCAAACTCTTCCTTGAGTTTTCTTTTGTGTTCTAAAGTTAAATAGAAGCTTTGGTCATGAATTGGATGAAAAACCTGTTCAGGAAGGGAGAGAGTCAGCATTAATCAGTTAGTGGGACAAAAGTCATGGCAGTCATGGATTTACTTTACCTTTTCAACTGGACAACAGTAAGTGTGTCTAAATTCTTTTGAATGCTTTATAAGATACTCATTTAACTTTGGCACATCCTCCCTTCGAAATATATCCCAAAGGGCACTGCCTGTACCATCTGTTAGCTCCTCTGATGGAAAACTTCCTGCAATCATGTTGCAAGACATGTCCCCTGTTCTGGTGTGTGCCTCGTTGTCCCAATCTGAGACCTTGCAATCCCCTCGCTCAAGGCACTCTTTTTCATCTTGAAGCATGTGCTTTTCTTTCAATCTCTCAATTGCAGACCTCTGTTCACCACTTAAAGCTACTTCTGCTGTGTGTGTCAAAATGTTTACCTGAAAATATTCAGATTTTTCAAAAAATAAAAATAAAAATAAAAAAATAAAGTAGGAGCTGATCATAAAACATGATGGTGGGAGGGGGTGTTGTAAACCATACCGCATCTGACATATCACAATGAAGCTTAGTTACAGAGTCCCCTCTTCCAAGTTCCTCTTTAAGCCCATATGCTATGTACGTCTTGGGACCTAAATCAGGTTTTATGACACTTGCCGGCAACTTTACACCAAGATTAAGAATTCCATCCCTTAGATCAGTGTATTCCTGGAATGGCAATGCACTAATAAACTCATCACAGTGGCGGGGTAAGAGATCTTCAAATTTATCAGATGGTGGCCAATCTTTAAGTTTGAGCATCTCTGGCCAGAAATTTGCATATGTTCTCCCATCTGTATAGCCTTTGAAAAATTTTCCCGTACTAATCTCAACCTGCAAAATTCAACGTGGTAAGTGATATCAAACATAGGCTTGTGGAAACTTACTGGGATTGATGAACAAGAAATGAAAACTTTAAGTGAGGATCTCAGGTAAATGTTATCAAAATCATATGCCTTAATGCCATGAAAATAGCATGCACAATGCATACATGTTTATGCAGAAAATCATATAATGATGATCCATTATGACAGACGGCATATAAATGTAAAGGACAATATGTGTCATGACAATATGCTAAAAGCCTAAAACTACCTCACAACCAGCCAAGCAATCAATAGCTTTGACTTCTGACATTTTTGAACTGATATTTGAATTTGTGTTCTCGCACAAGGCACGCCACATAACCATTGGTTCCCAACTTAGACCAGAAGTCTGCTCAAGAACATCTCGAACAATCACTGGTTCACCCCTAACCCAATGACTCCGAAAGCGAAAAAGCTCTTCCTCCTTCAAAGCATCCCTCGCAGTAGGATAATACAAGCAGTTGTCATTAGAACCTATTCTAGATGCTGATCTACATAACTTTTCAGGGTCATTCTCGATATCAACTGGCCAACAAGTTGTCTTGACACCATCACATTCGCTCAATTTTTTTTTTGCTTTTGCTTCCAAAGTTGAGATCCATCCTTCTGGAAGGAGATACTTGAGCTCTAAGACATGACTTCCACATCCACCCATCTCTTCAGGAGCACAGGTGATAGTGCCATCACTATTGGCAGTCCATTCGATCACTGGTTCATTCTGATCCCATGAATTTTCCTTGTCAACGAATTCTGGTTGTGGATCACCGCCATGAATGTAATCATATCCTTTATTTTTATATTGGAAAATTTCTCTTACTGGACATCCTGGAAACTTGCCTTCACGAATCTCCTGACAACAGCGCAGACAAAGCTCATATGAGCAGCCAGGGCAACTTCGGTGAAGATCCACAATTGAAGTTGAACATTGATTGCTGTTCCCAAGGCCAATGGAGATATCAAATTAGAAATGATTAAAGCCAATATATGATTAATTTCATAAATACTCACCAATAGACTCTCTCATCAGTGTAACATATTGATTGCTTGACCTCAATTGAAGATGAAGATACACCTGCCATAAAAAACCTACATCAGCTTTCAAACCACTCCCAGAAAAATGGTCGTGTATGCACTAAAGAAGCATACCTTGAATAACAGATTCTGCTTCTATCTCCTGAATTTGTTCTACATGAATTTGTTCAAGGAAGGGAAGAAGTTTATCAACTAAATAGTGAAGATGCTGAAGTTTTTCACCATCTGCGAGATCTCTTCTTGAGGTCTGAAAGTAGAAAGTATAAAAGCATGTGTCAAAATCCAAATAAGAAAGTGCATATCTCTGATTCAAACAAACACATTACACATGTACCCTGATGAAGCCACTCAAGTGTAAACACTTGTTGCAATTGCAATTTCCACGACAAAAGGGGCAAATCTCTGAAACTTCTTCCTCTAACAGCTGGGGATACCTATTTAGTTGGTTAAGAGAATCAATAAGCTAATATAACAAATGATACTATTTTTAATTAGTTTGAAGAAAATTGTCAAAGACAAGAACCAATGAGGGAATGCATATGATTAGAAAATTCACCATTGCTTGATGCACCGAATGCAGTAAAGGTTCTTTTCACACTTTTTGCAAGGAACGACTATTCTTCGATCTCTCCTTTGACATTGATGACACATTGCCGATTGTACAGATTGTACAGTCCTTACCTCATTAACCTGGCACAGAAGGGGATGAGCTTTAAATACCACAAGTTCTTTATATAAAATGAAGTCAATGACAAGGAGAATGGGATTAAACCTAATGAAAAATGTTAGAAACAGTGATTACCTTCATAGTTTTAGATACATCCATACTGCCCTTACTACTTTTTGAAACTGTCGAATCGGACAAGGAAGATGATGGAGATGAAGAACTAGTAGATAGTTTCCTAGAGTAATCTTTCTTTATTCTTGTGCCATTTAGGGTTTCACTCAAGCGCAAAGCATTTGAATCATCACTTTCTGCTGTAATCGTAATATGTGAACCATTATTTGGACTCATTGTCTTTGTTGTCAGCACCAAATCTTCATCATCATCTTCATCATCCCAATCGCCAACATAAAAATCATGATCAAGATTATATTTTCTGTATGATGCAGCAGCACGTCTTGTTGGCATTCTGTTAGTGCTTAAGCTTTCAATGTTTTGAGTTTTCAGCATGCTTTGTCTAACAAATGATGATCTCATGTTGTCCTTGCATTCACCCCACTCCTCTTCACTTCCATCGTCCACCTTGTCCATCATAATTTCATCTTTAGAAATCTCATTATTCTTTGAAGCTCTGTTGCAATAATCTGAATTTTTTTTACGTTTCTTTTGTTGCAAATGTGCAGTTACTTCTGTTTGCTGGATGTATCTTTTAGTCGTTGACTTCTGATCATTCTCCAACTCCTTTTGCTCTACATAACTTATTTTCTTTCTCATAGGTTTTCTTTTTACACTCTTTTCCTTACTGGGAGTTATCTTATAAGAGTTTCTCTTATTATGAATTTCATCATCTTGAGTGAACAGTCTCCGTTTATTTCTTAATGAAGATTCTAGACTGTACCCTTCTTCCTCTGCGTCCTCCTCTCCTCCTTCATAACCATACTGTGGTTCATCACAATAACTAGGATCTGAATTAATGCTAGAAAAATTGGAGGCACTTCTGTCAAATGAACTTTCACACTTGTTCCTCACCGTGCTTCTATTTACTGGTGTTTTTATTCTTCGCCCTGAATCTAACTTCATCACTGGTACTCCAGTGCATTCCAATTCATCAAATGAAAAACTATCTTCAACAAGTATTTTGCTAATTGAAACAGTCCTGCATTTTTTGGGAGGTTCCGGAGAGGCCTCATTCCCTCTCTTGACTGATGCTTCAGGCTGTTGGGGGAATCTCACAAAATTGTGCTCGGATTCATCATCTTCAGAGTCTAGAACAATCCGTCTCTTCCTACCAATCTCAGAAGTGCTTCTCATTCTCGGAATGCTTTGCGCTTCCTTAATCATCATTGTTCTTGCTCTGCTATCAACAGTGCCATCTTCATCACTGGGGGGAAAAAAACACTCAAGATTGCTTTCCAAAATACAGTAACAACAATAATAACAATAAGACTATCAAGAAAGGGCAAAATAACTGTTCCTGCAAATCTAAATTTCTTTCAACCTGACCAAGTATCTTTCTTTCAAGTTTCAAGGTTTTAAAATATTTCTGCAAATCTAGATTTCTGAATAGCAGTATACATACTGGTTAACTAAACATGTAATAGGTCTTCAGTTCTTCACTAAAGGTAGGTGGGTTAAGTCCAAGACTTAGGCAAGGATTATAACGCCAATAGATCCAAATGTAATTTATCAATTAAGATTCAACAATAACATTGATGATCTATGAAGATTCGACAATAACATTGATGATCTATGAAGATTCAACAATGAACAATGACATCGATCAAGATACAAAATAATAACAACTCTCAGAACATCTATATGCAATCATATCACAGAATTATAAGTTTTAAAGCAGAGATCATCTCAAAACAGCAGAGTACATTTTTCAGATATACAAACAACGCCATGCAGACAAAACTACAAATACGAAGGCTGCAAATCCGTCCAACAATAAACCAATAATATACACAAATCCGCAGGCCGCAGGCGGCATCGCGAGTCCTCACGCCACCGCCTGTTTCCGGTCGTCGTCCGCAGCAGAATACAGAGAAAAATAAAGTATAAGACCAACCTAATTGGGCGGAGCCGCCGCACATCGTCACTCTACCGCCGGTCTGCCGCACCTCGGGACGTCCGCCGCAACTACGCACCGGGAGAGAGTCGACCAGTAGCCAATTCGGGGTCCGGGAATGGAGGGTGAGAATTTGTAAATTGAATTTTGTAAATTGGTTAGGACTAAATTTGGTATATATAATTAGGTTTATTTTGCAACTATAGAAGCATACTATGTAAAACAAAATATATAGTGTAATAATTTAGTAAATTAAAAAAAAAAAAAAAAAATATATATATATATATATATATATATATATATATATATATATATATATATAGTTGGATACCCTATAGAACATGTATTTTCGTAATAAGTATAGACAAACGTTGTTATTAATTTACTATATTTAATAGTTTAAAAAAAAATCTATTTTTGTATTAAAAGTTTATAATATTTATAAAAATAATTTGTCATTTTTTTCTTAATTTATAGTCAACCATTATGGATTGATGGATTAGATTAGTCTACCATTCTCATAAAAAATTTACCTCTCATTTTGATTATATATAGTATGCTTTAAATATATAAGCATAGGTATATTTAATTAAATATCTTATTTGATCTTTTTACTAAACAAGACTAGCCATAGGTTCATTATAAAGGTCTAGCAATCTAGCATATTTCCACTCTTAGTTAATTAGAGAATCAAGGTTAACTATATTGACCTTAAGGTCCACATACATAATGACCTTTATCATTTTTGGAGTAATAAATTGTTACAACAAATTATTCCCTCCGTCTTATTTTATGTTTCTGGTTCGATTAACGAGACTTAACTGAAGTTATTTTTAATTCAAAATTTCATAATATTAGGTTTAGTTTTAGTATAAAAAATTTATATATTTAGAAACTACACTAAAAGTACTATTAAACGTAAAAAATCAAATTTAAAAATGAGTAAAAATACTTTAAAAAAATTGGTTTGACCAATAAATAGTAAGTATGACAGATAAAATGAGAGAGAGAGAGAGTAATTAATTAAACGTTCATATTAATTATTTAATCAAATTAAAAATAGTGATTAAATAAGTTAAAATTAATTGATAGGCTAATTATTTGATCAAATATGACATTTATATTTATCATTGAAATTGATAAAAACTAAATCCAAATTTGCAGCGGATTCAATGAGTTGTATGCACTATGCAGGGTGGAAAAATGTGGCCAAAAACAATGGGCTATATTAATTATTGTACTCAGTTTTGTGTAAAAGTGTTAATGGTTTTATGAAATTCATGTACTTTCCCTTTTTTTTTGACACGAAACATATATGAGTATGAAACGTCTTTATTAATGTCAGGCTCGCAAACCAATGTATTTTTACGTGAGATGATACGTGTTCAATGGTAAATATATAAATGTGATATTTAACTACCAATTTAATCTTCTTAATTACGTTCAATTAAATAATTAGCACAATTCTATACAAAATACTCCGTATATCATATTTTATGTTTTCAATTTAATTTCATTCATACTCACATTTAACGTCACTCTATATTTATCAAATCATACTGACTCATATCAGATGCACCATAATCTTGTGCAATAAGAGTATAATTTGTCCACACAAGTTTAACTGACTGGTTCAATAAAACAATATTTGAGGAAAGAAGTTAAGATTTGAAATTTGGCAGCACGCGGGTGTCACTGAATTACTTTAATTTACATTCTCTCACATGCTCAATTGGGCCAGGACATATGGAACTCTTAAAGTTAGGGATTCTATCTTTTTAGAGAAGAATAAAAGTACAATTTCGACAAACACGATATATGATGTTATAATATATTATAATTTTTTAATGTTACTCCAAATCACATTTAATATTACTTATGGGTTAAAAATATTTTAATGTCACAATATTTTTGGGTTAGGCGTATTTGAGTATAGCTATTAAAAGAAGCCCAACCTACATAATCTGCGCAAATTATGATGTGGACTCGTGTCCATAATGTATTGTGGATACGAGTCCAAAACGACGTCGTTTTCAAGAAAAATGCAGTATTTCAGTTAAAAAAATTGATTGTGCTTCGCCGTTAATGGCATTATTCGTTTATGGAATTATGAATGTACAGTTATGGAATTATGAATGTACAGTTATGAAATTATGAATGTACAGTTATGGAATTATGAACACAAAGCTCTGACATTATGAACTTACAATTATGAACATATAGTGATAAAATTATGAACATAGATCTCTAAAATTGTGAACATAGAGCTTTCGAAAATTATGAATTTACAGTTATTGAATTATGAATGTACAGTTACGGAATTATGAATGTACAGTTATGTAATTATGAATGTACAGTTATGGAATTATGAACACAGAGCTCTCACATTATTAACTTACAATTATGAACATATAGTAATAAAATTATGAATATATGCTCCTATAACAAAGCGATCTGAAATTTAAAAAAAAAATGGTGAAAGATAACCGTGCCACTAACGGCACCGTTACCGTTGTCCACAATGCATGCTGGACATGGGTCCATAGCATAACGATTGACATAATTTGCCAACCTCCCTCCCCACGGCAATTTATATCATGCATTAGACCAGGGTCCACGTAGTATTGTAGACCTTAAATCAAAAGGATCATGTACAAAATTCATTCTCATAAGGTACATAATTTCATAACACAAGACACAAAAAATCATAACACAAGATACATATACATGTTATATATTTACTTATTTTTTAAATCTGATTTAGGTACAAAATTTGTGTTCATAGACACATAATTTCACAACACAAACACAAAACTTCATAGCATAAGATACAGCTACTAATTTGTTTCAAGTATAGAATTAATACTCTTAAGATACAAAATTTCATAACACAAAACACAAAAACTCACAACATAAAACAAATACACATGCATCAGCGTCCTCAACGCACTGTGAACCCTAGTCCATGGTATAAGGATTGCCTCCCACGTTCACCACCAAGTTTATCTGAATATATTTTGTAATTTAATTGGGATTTGTATTAGTATTTAAAAATATAATTAAAGGGAAGAATTACTCTTAACCTTTCAATTAATTTAGCTTTACCAAGACCAATTATCCGGGATAAACAAACCCCAGGTGAGAAGTGTAAACAAATGTGATCCGTCTATCTAGGATATCAAGTGTAAAAATTAATGAAGAATGAAAAAAATGGTAACATATAATTTTTGTTTATAATTTTATATATGTAATTACGATTATGCATTTGAAAATGGAGAAAATAAGTTGATGTTATCAACTAATGTAAAACATAAAATGATAGAGGATTCGACGTCACAGCACGCCCTGACGTGCATTGACACTCTCTCAAGAGTTGTAATTTTCTGTGCTAGATAGTTATAAAGGAAAAGGAAAATTATATTTTAAAATTAAATTTTCATAATTAACAAACCTTCATTGTGTACGAAGGGGAGAAAAGACTGACGTTTTTATTATGAGTACTTTTTTGTTAGGAAGAATGAATAAATAAATACATATTTTTCAAGCATTCCCATTGAAAATCTATTTTAATTTGTACGAGTAATTAATACTTCTTCATGTAAATATAATAAATATGCATGTGTGAATTGAATTGAATTGAATCTGTATGCAGTCGGGCCAGATTGTGCAACACTTCAATCCAAAGACCGAATATAATTTTGATTATTTCAATTTCTCGATCTGACTTTAGTGCCAAATATTCATATTTTTCTAGAGTGGATTTGAATTATATATGTATAATAACAACCATTATTTCATATGCAGTCCAGTGGAGAAATGGAGGCCCGCAGTGCAGTCATTTGTCAGCTTTTAAATAAAACTATACACTAAAATACTTTGAAACATCTCCCCGGCCATGCATAAAACTATAGTCACTGGTCTTTTGTCTTCCTTCAATTCAATTCGATCTTCTTCTTCAAATTTTGACCCAGTAATATTTCTTTGTCTTTTGGTTTAACAACATGAATTATATGGATTTTTCAATTCAAGGTATGTAGGTTAAGTTAGAGGTCAATGCTCATTATGAACCATCTTTAAGTATTGTATGACTTGTATCTCAAGATCAGAGTATTAGTATGCCTTATTATAAGTGGCCTGGGGTGTTGTAATAAGTAGTGGTTTTGACATGAGTTATGTAAATAGACCTTTTCAATAATGAAGATTTTTATGAGGTTCTATGGTCTAGAATCCCCCAGCTTTAAGTTAGGGTCGATATATATATATATATATAGAGAGAGAGAGAGTTACACTCGGGTGCGAACGGCTCGCCCAGGCGCGAAATAGGAATGGATTCCGTTCGTCCACGTGTCCAGATCTAATGGATGAGAAACACTGATTTTTTTAAAAAATGCGGTGGTATTTTCGTAAATAATTGAACATCGAAGTGCAAGTAAAATGTATTACAAGTGCATGTAAAATGTATTATACGTGCAAGTAAAAATTTACACTGAGCATCAATACTTAGTTGCACTTATAGTTCTAAGTAGTTGCACCTATAGTTCTAAGTAGTTGCACACATAGGTATAAGTAGTTGCATCTAGGTGTATGAATGTTTGCGAGTGGTTTTTAGGAGTATTACTACCCGCTGAACTCAGATCAATGAATGTTAACAAGGCAAAATTACATGCATTTATAGGTGAAAGTAGTTGCACCTATAGTTATAAGTAGTTGCACCTATAGTTATAAATAATTGCACATATAGTTATAAGCACACCCAGGTGCATGAATGGTTGCGGATAGTGAATGCTAACAAGGCAAAATTACATGCACTTATAGGTGAAAATAGGTGCACTTATAAGAGATTTTACTTGCACTTCGATGTTCAATTATTTACGAAAATGCCACCGCATTTTTTTTAAGTTATTAGATTTGGACACGTGTCGTGCGCTGATTCGTTCGCATTTCCTTCCTGGGCACTTATTCGCACCTGAGTGCGTCCCTCTATATATATAAAACATTAAGTATAAACCTCACGCACATTAATACACCGCACATCCGCACGGGAAGCAACAAATGCAACTGATCCCTTCCCTACACACACACACACACACATATATATATATATATATATATATATATATATATATATATATATATATGTGTGTGTGTGTGTGTGTGTGTGTGTGTGTGTGT